TTAGGAGTATGAGAGAGAGGGGGGAGAGTGAGAGAGAGAGAGAGAGTAAGAGAGAGAGAATGGGAGAGAGAAAAGAAAAAGGAGCAGGAGAAAGTAGTAATATAAAAGAAAGAAAACCTGAAAGAAATGGTCGTCTGGAAAGGTCGAGAGAAGAAAGAAAGAAAGAAAGAAAGAAAGAAAGAAAGAAAGAAAGAAAGAAAGAAAGAAAGAAAACGTGAAAGAAATGGTCGTCTGTAAAGTTCGAGAAGAAAGAAAGAAAGAAAGAAAGAAAGAAAGAAAGAAAGAAAGAAAGAAAGAAAGAAAGAAAACGTGAAAGAAATGGTCGTCTGTAAAGGTCGAGAGAGGAAAGAAAGAAAGAAAAGAAAGAAAAAGAAAGAAAAGAAAGAAAAGAAAAGAAAGAAAACGTGAAAGAAATGGTCGTCTGTAAAGTTCGAGAGAAGAAAGAAAGAAAGAAAGAAAGAAAGAAAGAAAACGTGAAAGAAATGGTCGTCTGTAAAGGTCGAGAGAAGAAAGAAAGAAAGAAAGAAAGAAAGAAAGAAAAACTGGACACAAAAGAATGCGTCTGGTTTGTCTGAGACGGAAGATTGCTTTAGTCGGAAAAACTCCCAAAAATTTCAAAGAACCAAATGGATCTTTGTCATTTAATAGATTAGATGTGTCTGTCTTCCTAGGTGCATTTCACTTTGGGAATTAATATATATATATATATATATATATATATATATATATATACAAGTACATAATTGGTGTAAACAAAATGGCTATTTTTTTAGTGATTTTATAACATATTTATGTTATATTTTTTTTTTTAAATAAATAATATATATATATATATATATATATATATATTTTAAATTAAATTTAAATAAAAACAGACCAGTTTAAGGTTAGAATTACTTGATGTCCAGACATTGACACATTTAAACGGTTTAAGTATAAAAGAATAGAAATTTTAAATTACATCTAACTCCCTCATGTCTTCTCTCTCCCCCCTCACTTCCTCACTTCGTTAATTTCCATATGTTTAATACGGCCCGTCAAAAATGTGTAAATTTCTTTTCATTTTTTTGTTTCAACCTTTGGAAGTAAAATATGATGATCCGCAGTTCTTTAAAAGGGCTGTGGTGAAATAATTTATTACATGGAACCTTAAAGTGGTCGGTTTTTATTTAAATTATTTGCTCTGGATTTACATTGAGCTCTCTGGATTTTATCCTGCTTTGGTCTACCTATACGGATTACCTAATATTTCATAAACTAACTAACTATATATATATATATATATATACTACTAGTAGTAGTAGTGATATCTGCCATTACGGGTGGAAAATAACTTCACATATAAGAACAGAGGGAAAATGTTTATCAACATGGTGTTTACATAAGAAATAAAAATCATTGTTTATGCATTAATATTAACTGTTCAAGAAAAATATTGTCAAAAAAAAAACGAATTACGTAATCCCTAAAAGTAACAGTCCTTTTTAAAATTTTTAATATTTTTTAAAAAATTATTTCACCCCAAGCAACACAATAAAGCCACTAAGCCACAGTAGGTTACCTAGTGTGAAAAAAGATGAAAATCGACTGGAAAGCAAGATGCCGAGAGATAATTCCACAAGAAGTGCGGGAGACAAAACTTACGGTTACATCAAGACATTTCAACTGTAAAATAATAAGACCTAACTGCCAATCTAGTATTTTGCTTAAATTCATAAAGCCTTGTTACCAAAGAGGAGAGTTCTTCAGAATAGTTACCATGAAATTATCTATAGAAAAGACACAGGGAAGCTATTTTATAGCGATGTGAATATGATTGAAGCCGAGACGCCAGGTCAAGATCAATAATATTGCAGATTGTTCTTTGTATTTTATACATAACAGAAGAACCAGGTCGCAATATTGAATGCATGGTCGAATGTTCGACTTATAAATGTGTAAGATAGATTCTGGCGAGAAAAAAAAGTATCTAGCATAACTCAGTGAACCAATTTTCCTAGCAGTAGACCTTGCAATTGATTCAATATAATCGTTCCACATTAACATAGTTCTTTATCAGAGCTTAAAAAAAACCATCTCCAAAAAAGACAATAAAGCCACTAAGACACAAGGGGTTACTGATTGTGAGAGAAAGATCAAATTTGGCTGAAAAGCAATAAGCCAGAAGAGAGTTTCGCGAGTGAGAACGGCAAGTGAAACAGAACTGACGCTTACATCTAGCCATTTCGACTGAAAAATGATGAGACCTAACCGCCAATCTAGTATTTGTGTGTATACAACATTCGTGTGTCTCTTACAGGGTGCGAGTATGAAAACGTATGGGGATCCAATTCTAGGACAAGTTATATGATGTTGGAAAGAAGAAAAAGCATCGAGAAGCAAGTATGAGGACAGCGATCTTGAAAGATTGTCCTTGTGCCATGATGCTGGTTATGGCAACTTTGAACCAGAATAGGAACTGGAATTCAAATTGAATTCATGATTTTAGAGTTAGAATTCTGTTTGTTTAAAATATTTAAAATACCACTTGTAAAAAGAAAGCTTCTTAAAAATGCGACAAGTACAATTACACAACTTTGGAAGGTCAAGATTAGCATTATGAAGCATTATAAGCCTGTTGAGAGAACCCCCAGGCAGTGAAAGAGAGGTGAATGACGTTTTTGTAGTTGATTTACAGATAGAAATCTCCCCGGGTATCTATTGCAACAAGTAGGATTTGATATCTTTGCCTGTATCATTCTTTGAAGCAAGGATTCCTTGCTGGCCAGGGCTCCTTGCTTATTTTTAAACCTGGTGAAATTTCAATTTTAATGCTGAAGATTTTTTTTTACATTTTTTATAACGTTTTCCAAAGATCCCGAATAAAAGCAAGAATTCCCTTCGCTTAAAAGGCCATTTTTATCCAGAACTGACCTCTCTTAATCTTCAATGATCCCAGATGTTAGCAAAACCTACCCTATAATTTTTTTTTCTTCCCAAGTTATCCGAACGTGCCACTTTATCTCCAAGAAGGTAATTGCTTGGATGAAGTTAACAAACTGATTCTATTAACAAAGACATTCTTTTCTTCGCCGAGGTCGAACTTTACATTATCCAACTGGGAATCTGTGAGGTTAAAAAGCGATTTTTGTTCTCCGTTGAAAACTCAATATCTCACTCCATTTTGGTTGAAATTAACTCGTTTCGTTTTCTGGGAACCTTGAAGAACTCTTACGATCTTGAATGAACTCCGAGGTCAGTTTCACTTTTTCTACTAGAATATTACTTAAGTTCTTTCATTCGAAAACTTGGCTCCGAAGTTTTTGTCTTGGCCCTGATGGTCATGCACACACACGCATGTACAATGAAAACATACACACTTTGTCTCTCTCTTTTTATCTCCCTCACACATACGCACCGACATCATCCATCTATCTATCTATCTATCTATCTATCTATCTATCTATGTTTAGTTAACATATATGGATATAAATATTTTTAAAAGATGAAGTCAAAAAATTCTGTTATTTAAAATAAATACATAAATAATTCATCAAATTAAAATAAAATAATAATATAATAATTATATTAATAATAATTCATTAAAAATAAATATATAAACAAATCAGAGAAATCGATTAAAACTCATTTTCGTTTTAATTATTTCACTTATCAGCTTCTAAAGTTTACCTTGACGTCAGCGTTCTTAAAATTAAAACAATTTAAAAACCTAATATTTTTATTTCAGTTGCTAAATATTTGTTGCAAAATAATTTTTTTACATTTCCATTGCTAATGTCCAGTGAAGGACGAAACACATTTGTAAAAAATAGTTTTCTTTTTCTCGCAAGGGGAAAAACGCTGTTACATAAGCTAGAATGACCAATCAAAACACAAGTAGAGGATAATTCAAAAAACTTGATAACGAAGTAAGGTTATAATAGCTATTAAAAGCTTTAAAGTTGGGATTATACTAAAATAGAATTTATTCTAACCAATAAGTATTAAATTATATGATAAAATTTGATATTAATATTAAAAGTAAAAAAATACCAATTTTAACATCTAAATTTAATGTCTATTAAGCTTAAAATTATAAAATTACTGAAGAGAAAAGAAAAAATACATATTTTATTCAATTTATTCAATTTATTTCTTCATTGAAATTACGTTAGAATAGACGCTAATATCGGCTGGTCTTCCTGACAAAATGTATACATTTTAATTCCAAGTGTGTAAGTGGGATGCTAACCTCTCGCGTAAAACAATACAAACACACTCAGATTATAATACATAAGCACCCAGACATACACACACAAAAGGTGACGGGACAGAAAACATCTCCACGGCCCTTTATAATAAAAAACCCCAAAATCCTAACATACATATATAAACCTATTCATACATACAGAAATATACGTAAATATAGATACACAATAGAACTGGACATATATATATATATATATATATATATATATATATATATATATATATATATAGTTATGTATATGTATCTATATATAAAAAATCCTAACATACATATATATATATATGTATGTTAGGATTGGGTTTTTATTATAAAGGGCCGTGGACGCGCTATTCTTTTTACGAAAATGGATAAATTTGACCTACGATACTCACTGAAAAACATCCCCATACCTACTCAAGCTTCATGCAAACTCCAATTAACAGAGAAAATCGAAAGTCTAATAAGACGAATGAGATGGAAGGCATATTTCTCCCTCAACGACCTAAAAAAACAAACAAATGAAAAGTTTTTGAGACATTCAATTTTAATACAAAAAAGTGCCCACCAATATGCAAGAAAATGTTAAAATTCGAAGAGGACATGATAACTATAGTTAGAACCTTGAAATTCAAAAGACACTTGGACAATTTCCAGAAAAAAAAATCATAGACGACAGGAAAAAAAAATAATCAACTCCAACAAAAGGTATTCATTGATTTGACAAAACCACAAACATATATACTATAGAACCTACAAGCCTACAATCAACTCTTAACCAACAAAAATTACACAACTATACAAAAAAACAAACATGAACACAATAAACATTATAAACCAAGAAGCCAAAATATAGCCACCAAATTGAATATAGATGAAAAGAGTAAACAAACTAGCTGAACAACATGCTTTCATCACGGCAAAAAGGACCACAAAGCCAGCTTCATGAAAAACCCACATTCAGACTAATTAACCCGGCGAAGAGTGAGATAGGAAAAATTAATAAGAAGATACTAGAAAAATATCAACACCAGCCTAAGAAAAATTAGGTCTCAACCAGTGGAAGAACACCAAAAGCCGTCATAGAAGATTGGTTCAAAACAATAGACAACAAGAATAAATCCACTTTCATCCAATTTGACATTGTGGATTTTTATCTTTCCATTACAGAAAGCATATTAAATGAAGCCATACAACTGGCACAGCTAAATCTAAAACTCACGGACGGTGATATAAAAATAATCAAGCATTGCCGCAAATCCCTGCTGTTCCACAACAATGAACCATGGGCAAAAAAACAAAACCACAACCTGTTTGACGTAACAATGGGTAGCTACGATGGAGCAGAAATATGCGAATTAGTAGGCATACTCATCCTATCATACCTGGCCAGAATCCTGGAGAGAAAAGACACAGGATTATACAGAGATGACGGTCTTATCTTAATAAGGGAATCCAATGGCCCCAAAGTAGATAAATTCAGGAAGAAAATAGTGAACGCCCTAAAAAACATTGGATTCAAAATAGAGATAAATACAGGCACAACAATAGTAAACTTCCTTGACGTCACTCTTAACCTGATCAACAACACATATGAACCATACAAAAAAGAAAATGACACCCCAACTTACGTAAACACATCCTCCAACCATCCACCTTCTATCATCAAACAAATACCAAAATCAATCAGCCGCAGACTATCTGAGAACTCATCTAACATACACATTTTCAATAGTAAAAAAGCACCATACAACGAAGCACTAAAAGCAAGTGGTTACACACAACAACTACAATATATACCTCCACAGCCAAAACGTAGAAACAGAAAGAGAAACATTATCTGGTTTAATCCACCATATAACAAAACTGTTAAAACGAACATAGGCAAAATATTCCTAAACTTAATAGAAAAACACTTCACTGAAGAAAACAAATTATCAAAAATATTTAAGAAAAATAACGTAAAGATCAGTTACAGCTGTACAAATAACATAACAGAAATAATCAAAAGCCACAACAAAAAATGACAACCTACAAAAATGTAACCAAGGATCCAATATGCAACTGCAGAAACAGAACAACATGTCCACTCCAGGGAAATTGCCAACTTACGAACACTATATTCATGGCCAAGGTAAGTACAAACA